CAAAGTACCGTGGCTTGAATGTAATTGTACACCACACGTGAATGTAAACTAGCTTGCACAGTAATTCGTTTCACAGTCAATGAGGTTATACATTTTTTCTTATGCTTTACAGATTTCATCCACAAAGATGTCGTGAGGAGGAACTCCGGGAAACGTCATTTTGTATTTGCAACGCAACAGCAATTAGATTTTTTGGCAAGGGGTAAAAGATGGTACATCGATGGAACTTTTAAACTGGTGAAGGCGCCGTTCACCCAGCTAGTCAGTATTCATTGTTTTATGAAAAAAGACGAAGTAACTAAACAGGTTCGTGTCATCTTGCATCAAAACCTAGCACACATGTGTTTGACGTTGACCATAAATGTCACAACGCTATACATGTATGTATATTCACACTTCTATTTGTTATCATTTGTAGATTCCTCTATGCTTTGCACTCATGTCGGGCAAAAGCAAATCAGACTATAAGGCTGTCATGAGAGCAGTCAAAGAATTATTGCCGGCGGACATCTTATTAAAAGAAATTATGGCCGACTATGAAGAGGCAATATGGAGGGCAGCCAGGGATGTGTTTGATGGAGTCGAAATAAAAGGTTGTTCTTTCCACTGGAGACAGGCTGTATACCGCAAAGTTCAAGCAGTTGGGCTCCACCAGAGTTACATGAAAAAGGATGCTACTTACAAATTATTAAGACAGGTGCTTGCACTGCCATACCTACCAGAAGAATTAATCCTCGATATGTTTGAGAAGCTCAGGGAGAAAGCCACCACGGACAAACTTAAAGAGGTGAGAATAAATACAATACAATATATCCAGCTAGTATATAGGATTGTTAATAATTACATTCACGGTATAACCGATCCGATGTTCATCTATTAATAAATATTTCCAATCTCTTTCACAGGTATTCAATTACGTTGATCGACAATGGATTCGTTCATCTGTGATGCCTCCCTCCACATGGAATTGTTACCTGCAAACTGTAAGAACTAACAATGATTTGGAGGGCTGGCACTCGCGTTTGAACAAACGAGGAAAGAAAGCCAATTTGCCATTCTATCTGCTTGTGTCACTTCTACACAAAGAGGCCACGTACATCACAATTCAAGCGAAATTGGTATCAGAGAAGAAACTACAAAGACATCAGAAAAAAAATATTTGGAGGTAGAAGGAAAAATATTCAAAGCGTGGGGAGAATTTAAAGACAACGAAATTTCAGCCGATAAACTTCTCCGAACAGCGGCTTCATTATACGGCAATGCACCAGTAACCAACTGACTTGGAACGATAAGTACATATTTGGGATGAATCGACTTTGAAACGAATCGATAATATATGTCGATATATGTATGTATATATATATATATTATACTTTTGTAACATCCAATAAAACCGGAAAGCCTTGAACAAACTGTTTTAAAATTCATTGAAACACAAATACCATATAATACCGTACGATTCACGATCTAATTATAATAACACAGTGACAATCAAAGGTTAATACACGTGTCGGTATCACTTTTTTGAAGAATTAGTTGACCATTACCCACAATCTTTTTAAACAATTCACAAAAAATAAAACCGCAGAACCCTATGGTATAATTGTAGATGTATTGTAATGTATTTACGTATGTTAATGGACAGTGAATCTTGTAATTTGTATCTTTTACTGTTATTTATTGTCTTGTACAAGTTTTAGTGACTTCAATATTTTGTCTGTGTTGTGTTAATAAATAAACTATTGTCTCAAATCAACCTCAAGTAATCCTTTTATGGTTTGCACGGCATGTGACATCCCATTAGCACACTTTCCTAGGTGCGTCTACATATAAAGACGTCGTTTCAACGGTTCTTACCTTCAGTGCCTATTCAAATCGTCACTTAGATGTGAACAATAAAATCATGA